ACACACACACACACACACACACACACACACACACACACACACACACACACACACTGCATAATGCACAATATAGAATGTCAACTGTCAGAGCCTAGTATCTCATCCCTGTGTTCTGGCTGCCTTTCTTCCCAACAGAACTTTACTGGAGTGAAGTATGGGAATATTTGATCTAGTCAGTAAACTGGAAGATACTTAAATACAGTGGAATTCACACTTGTTAACATTCAACATTTTCTCAACAAGTTCAAACTTAAGTCCTTTCATGACCCTTTCACTTAGTCAACCTCATTGTCCTGTAGATGTCATTGGTTTGTCTAGTAAGAGCCAGTGTTTCCCTTCTCTCTCACATTCCTCATCTGAAAGCCACTTGTTTCTTCTTTAAAACCCTGTTGTAGTTTCCCTCTCCCAGAAAGGCCTCGTTAGCCCACAGTTTGTTAGTAATCCCATTTAGACTAGCCAATAAGCCCATAATAGTATTTCATAGGATTTCCCCACAATCTACTGTAATCATTTGCTTACTTCTCTCTCTCTCTCCTTTAATAGGATAATATTTCTTGAAGTCAGAGATGGCAGTGTTGTCTTTGAATCTGGCATATATATGCCTTTTGAATGCATGAGTGGCTTCTGTAGACGTATTCTGTAATTTGCATTATTTAGATTGTAATTATTCAGACTTTAGGTTTTAAATTTGACTTTATAACACCACATTCCTAGTATGTTCAACTCCCATATCGCTGTTAAAAAAATGTTTAATAAAGGTAAGTTTTTAGCATGAGCTCTTTTGGCCTGAAGATACAATATTCCTTTTAGGCAGTTAATTATTAAACAATCCGAATTACCAATTTATAGGAAATTGGAAACACTAATTCTGTGATTCTGAAATTGTTCAATCTACCATATGGAATTGGGGGTGCATAGAACTGACTTTATTAGTATAAGATTCCCTTAATATCTTATGTATTTGAAAACATGTGGTTATAATTTGTAGATTTTTAGCCTAGTTCCAATCCAAAGACAAGACAGAGGCAATGCTATTGAATTTATCTGTTAATAGTGGATTTAAGCAACTGCCCAGGAGTCCTTGCTGTCTTTGTAGCAAGGACAAATGAAATAACTCACTTTTGTAGCAAAATGCAAAGAAAATGTAAAGAAAGGTATAATCGCAAATTTTAAAGTATTTTAAAATAAATTTAGATTATTATATAACCTTTATTTAAGGGTTTTTTTTTTTTCTAATGTATACCTGATACTTTCACGGAAGGATATATAAGACAATTCGTCTAATTATTTCTTTAATGAAATTGCCAGCAGAGTCACTGCATTATAGCTGAATCATAATCCTGGCTGTTCTTTTTATTTATAGAAGGAACAAACACAGTTTTGTTATTGTTAAGGTACCTTGTTCTTCAGTTGAGCTTGCAAAAGAAACTTGCTCTGAGAAAGCTGCTATGAAAGATTTGTAATTTCTGTTTTCACTCTGATGTATTTTGAAAAATCTGTTGTGAAAATTAGAAGAGAATAAAATTACCCATGTCATAGCAGTTAGTTCCCTGCTCATTTCATAAGACATCAGACTGTTACTTAATAATAAGATTTACTGTTGGTAAAATTTGCTGTAGCAAGTGTAAAGGTTAATACAGGTTAGGTTATTGTTGCCGGTGAAGAATGTGCTCTCTGTTTTGGTTTTGGAGCACTGCCTCCAAGAGGCGCATAACATTTGGTACGTAGTTCACGTATTTCTAGTCTACAGACCTTCCCTATCGAGGTGAAAAAGAATTTGTGATTCTGATGTTTACACTTTTTTTTTTTTTTTTTTTTTTGCTGCTGTATAAAGCTCAGTGATGATAATTATTTACAAAAAAACTTTCCATGGCATTACAAATAAAACAGGTTTTTTTGAAGGCTAGTAATTTGTGCCTTTAAAGAGCCAGATTATTTTGCTTTTGTCTCAGAATGTATTTTGCTTTACAAGTGTACTGTGACAGCCTGAATACAAACGAGGGGGAAGGGACATTGTCTTGAGCTGGCATGCTGTTATCAGAGCGAACGTGTTCCTGGATTCGAGGTTTAGCATTCATTGGTTGTCTGAAGAAAGCTATTTCATCTGAGGATTGGACAAGAAGCTGCGTCAATTTGCTGCCCGTCTCCAAGGCACTGGTGATGCTGCCTTCACAAGCTGGCTAACGTCACGGCTCCATCACCCAGCGGGGTGTGGACTCTCTTTTTCTCTTCTTCTCTATTTAATTCTCTATTTGCTGCCTACTGCATTTCTTAATCTGTCTTCTGCCAAATGCTAACAGCATGATATTTTGCAATCATCTAGGTGAATACAAAAAAGACGAACTCCTGGAAGCTGCTAGGTAAGTGATTCCATTCATTTTAAGTGAGTATAATGCATTTAAGGGAGGAGACCAGGTAGAGGAGTGTAAAGATTTATAACGTGTTCTTGTCTTGCTTGGGCTTTAAGGGATAGTGTGGATAAGATCTACTAAGTCTTTGTGCACTTTATTGTACATTGTTAGTGGACATAATGACAGAATCCTTCACTAGGCTAAGCATTGTAAGACTAATTTTATTTGTAACATATCTTGAGGTACTACTACCTGCAGACCTTTTAAAAGATATTCTTGGAGTGTTTATATGCCTATGTCTTTCTTCTGCTTTGAAGATTTTTTTTTCCTAGTCAAGCTTGAAGGAGAGACGTAAAGTAAATGTTAAAATTCTTAGCTATTTTGTTGGTGATGATGGTGGTGATGGTGATTTATAATTTAATTGATTACCTCTTTAGAGAATTTGTATTTTTAAACTCCAGAGTTTTAGATCATTTTTTTCAGAATTAAGTTTGTTTGTAATTAAAATGCTGTAGATAAATTTTTAAACGTAGAAAGCTACATCACCCAAGATAACATACTACCACATAATTAACAGAAATTATGGTAACTGAAATAAATATTATAGACATGCATTTTAATTCATATTTTAAAAATTAAAGCAAAATCCTTATTGTTTTCCACTCTTAATGAAAACATCCATAAATATTCATAAGAAGCTATAATTTTACAGAAATTAACTTACGTCTTTTTATAGGAGTGGTAATGAAGAAAAACTAATGGCTTTACTGACTCCTCTCAATGTGAATTGCCATGCAAGTGATGGGCGGAAGGTAAGTTATTTCAAATGTCGCCTTTTCCAGTAATTTCTTACTGCTTTACAGTATGATTTTATTAAGTATGGTCTGTGTGGATGTTTACATGTACATATTTGTAGCTGTTTTCCTGCCATCCTTGCACTGTAATGAAATGCTGCTCTCTTGCTGGTCATGACAGACTCATGGAGCTGGAGAAGTATGGGTCTTAAGTAAGCTTTCCCTTAAATGTTACGTACTGAAAGTTTGTCACATGAACTGCACACAGTGTTTTCAGTGAATAAAATTAAAAACATGCTTTCTGTGTGCCATGATAGAAATCATATTTGTTTGTATTTGCCTACTAGATATCAACACTTTTCTACTAAAGGTGAGAAGCTGTTAATGATTTTTTAGATCTCTATAACAGTTCTGCTTTTTTTTTTTTTTTACTTAATTGCAGCATATTGTAAGAAAGTAGATTAAAAGAGAAGTATTCTGCATAAAGATACCCTTGTCATAACTGTAAGGTGGTGTATAAAATGCGCAGCCAGCAGCCTCATTGTCTGCTCTGTATTCATGCTGCATATAGAATGAAATGTGATGTGTTTCAGACTGTGGTAATTGACTGCAAAGTTTTGCAATGATTTACCTAGTAGACTAAAAGAACCCCAGAATATTCTCTATTGCTTCAAACTAGTGAATTCACTGAGTACTCTTCCTAGCTCTGGGGAGGTGATTTTAAAGGGTAACTGCTCATTTTTCCTGCCGTTTTGGTGTTGCTTTTGGGATTTTGAGCCCCATGAGTACTTTGAGTTCCATGGTTTATTTGGATCATCTCAGTGGGTGGAGTTACTTCTCTCACTGTGTGGGTAGAGCCCGTTGCATCTGTAGTAAGTGCGGCTGTGGATGTACACAGACCTAGAGCCCACCTTCTCTGTTCTTGGTAACCATTTTAGGACTGGCAAGTTGATGGCCAGTTACTGTAGCAGGAGCTGAAATAGCTACCCTAGCTTCATTCCCAGTCCTCATCCCTTATTCTGGACAGCCCCATTTTCCTCTCCTAAGGAGATACTCTCTTCTCCTTATAGCTGGAACCAATGTCCTTGTACATATTCCATGGTTCTTTTTCTGCTTTAACCATATGGTTTTTGCCACAGACTTCCTTACATTGTGTTTATGCTTACATGTCTGTCTTCTATTATTCTATTAGGGTTTTTGTTTTTTGTTTTTGTTTTTCTAGTATATCAAGCCTGGCATCTAACAGCAGCTTAGAGTATTAGTCTGGTTCACTGACAAACATGATTTTAACCCTTGAGTGAGAAAATCATCTCTGTAACTCTTGCTGTTCAGAAAATTAAATTCATAGTATGTGAATGAAAGATTGTATGCTTTCTGTTATTCTTACTTTGTACTCTATTTATTTGTGGATAGTTAGAACATGAGGAAAAACTATATTTTCATGTCTAAGACATCGTTATGAACGTACCTGAGATACCATACTGAAGAATTTTTGCTTAAATACTACAATAATATTCCAAAAATATATACTCACGCATTTATACATTATCAGGCCTTTTCAAATAAAATCAGGTAACAAAGGAAAATTAAATAGGCATTATTAGGTTTTATTGCAATGCATATATTCTAAAGAATCATTCACAGTTGTCATCTATATGCAAACCACAAATAAAATTGCATACATATAGGTTGGTAATATTGATGTTTAAATTTTTATCCTCATGTATGGCAGAGTGATGCTTACTAACATGCACCAGTGTGTAAAAGCCACAAGCAGAATTCCCGGCGCTAGTGGAGGGTTGCTGCTCAACGTCTGGTCATGACAGTGTTGTCAGCTTTCTTGGAGGAGGTATCAAGAAAACATGTGAGCGAATCCTCACAAGCTGATCAATTACAATTTTCTCTCTCAGATATTTGATACATTTTACTTTTAGGATTTTCTCATGTGCTACTAGGATTAGGGAAGCTGTTTTTACATCATAAAAAAATAAAAGTATGTTTTCATGTGAGTCAGTTCGTGGAGTTTTTAACATTTTACTTCTTGGCTCTTATATTAGAACAGGTCATACAATCAAATCCTATTTTTAGAGGTTCTCCAAAACACTGCTAATGCTGAACTGATTCTATCCTTAGTTTTACTACAGTTCTTGGTTTGTAAATTTCAAAGGCCCATAGAAATGTAAATTCACAAATAGTTTTAGACAGAAATGTTCCTTATACAGTGACTTGTGGGTGGAGAATTGGTCAGAGCTGTGTAGGGGGTGAGAATGAGTATTCTTAATGCTCTTGTGTGTGATTGGATACGTTTTCCTTGTTTTGTGCTTGTTGCTGTGACTGGATGGTCTGGTTAGGTACACAGAAGTGGTTCATGTTTGATTCCCACAGCTGTTTTTCCAGCCTCTGGAGTTCTGAACATCATGATGCATCAGGAAGGCTCTGCCTGTTTTGTCTTGTTGAGTTTTGCTGTTATTTTTACTTAAAGGCAAAAATCACCATAAATTTAAAGCTGGACTGTGGTATACACCTGCACACCCAGAAACTTGGGGAAACTGAGGCAGGAGATTAAAATTTTGCAGGGCCAGCTTGTTCTAGATAATGAAATCCTATCTTAAAAAATAAAAGAAAGAAAAAAATTTAGGTGTTTTGGCAAACTGAGCAGAGGAGGATGGCTTTGTAGACAAGAAGAGCACAGGAGAGTAGGAACAGAACAGCAAGCGCAATGGAGGGCTCAAGGGGACGTTTTTTATTTTTAGTTTTTGGGAGACAAGATTTCATTGTAAGTTTGGGGCTGTCCGTAAACTACAGGCTGGCCTATGATTCATGGAGATCCACCTGCCTCCGCCTCTAATTAATGCTGGGATTAAAGGTTATGTGCCACCAAGCCTCTTTTTTTAACTAGTATCTTGAGCTGCCCTTTAGAGAATTTGGCTAATATCTCTTTGACCTGAGTTCTCCAGAGGTCAGAAAGCAATTTCATTTCTGCTTGTCTGTATAAACTTTTCTTTTTAAAATAAATAAATAATTAAAAGATTTTTGTAACATTTTATTCTAAAATGCTACCTTCATTCAATTATTATACCTGGTCTTAACACTAGAAATTTACGCACCTCCTAAATAAAGTTAATCCTTGTGTCTCTGTCCATTATGATTACATTCTGTTACACAGTTTTCAATTGCAATGAAGCTCAACCAGAACTCTGCCTTTCTGGATGACTTTATTCTCATACTTTTAAACCTAATTTTTGGCCTTTAATCACCCTTTATGTTATTTCCTGTCAATATCAGATGTGTTCATAATAGCTAAATGTTCTGTTTTCGCTTTACTATCTAAATATGAGATGGTAATATTATTCTCTTAGGGTTTTTTTTCGCTCTCAGTATTCCTCTATGTATTTCTTTCTATAATAAGTGAATATATTTGAATGTATCTCTCTCTCCACCCCTCTCTTTTGTTGTTTTGTCTTCTTTTTTTTCTTTTTTCTTTCTTTCTTTCTTTTTTTTTTTTGAGACAGAATCTTACTGTGTAGCTCTAGCTGTCCTGGAACTCGCTGTGCAGACTGGGCTAACCTTGAACTCACAGAGCTCTACCTGCCTCTGCCTTCCGAGTTCTGGAATTAAAGATGTGCACCACCAGGCTGGACCTGTTTTTGTTTTTATATTTGCTAGCGTTTAGTGCTCTTGGGAGTTCTTTTTGGTCTCACTCTATGTTGTTTACCCTTTGAACTTTAAGCAAATCCTTTCAAAATATAACAAAAATGGGTGGAATGGGATTACAGTGTGTGTTTCTAAGAGAGAATTATGTGTCTTTCTGCACCCATCCCTGTTGCTGCTTTGATGTCACATACAAAATGTAGCTAACATTTGATGTTTTAAAAATAGTGTAAGTCTGGGTGGTGGTGGCACACACCTTTAATCCCACCACTTGGAAGCAGGCAGATCTCTGAGTTCAAGGCCAGCCTGGTCTACATAGTGAGTTCTAGAACAGCTAAACTACACAGAGAAACCCTGTCTCAAAAAGAGAAGGGGTTAGAGAAGGGGGTTAGAGAGATGGCTCAGCAGTTAACTTCAGAGGCCCTGAGTTTAATTCCCAGCACCCACATGGTGGCTCACAACCTTCTACAACTATAGCCCTATGGGATCTGATGCTCTCTTGTCTGCAGATGTACATGCCAAGAAAACACCCATAGGCATAAATAAATCAGTATTTTAAAAATGGGTTTAATAGAGTTCCTGAAATTTCATGTTTGTTTTGTTTTGTTTCTTACATATATTACACTCAGAATACTCAGAAACTCGGTACCTGCCATGTGCATGCTGTTCTGAATATCATAGGATAGAAATAAATGAAGTGGTGTAATGATGGAGATGATATCATGGATGTTGAAATTGATGTACTAAAAAGTTTTAATATTCCTTTTGGTATGGTAGTTAGGGAATATAGAGTGAAGGAGAGATTTTTTTTTTTTTTCTGGACTTTTAATGATGTTAGTACTTCGACATCTGCAAGAATTCACAAATTTGTAAACACGCAGTTGGGGCACCACAGTAAAATTAGAAAAGCAGGTTGTCTTGTATGTCAGATGCAACTGAAAACATTTGCTTCTGTAGCAAATAATGAGTGAGACACTGAGAAAAGAAAAGTAAAGCCGTCAAGAAGAACAATAGAGTAAACTATAGTTTAATCAACTATGGGTTCATTAAAAGCACATATTCTCTTACAGAGGACTAGAGTTTGGTTCCCAGCACCCACATCAAGTTGCTAACTGCCCATAACTTAAGCACAAGAGGATTTGATCTCACACACAAACACATACACACACACACACACACACAGCACTGCAGAGGTGGTTTAGTGTTTAACTTAGTGTTCACTGCTCTTACAAAGGACCTGGGTTTGGTTCCCAGCACCTACTCGATGAGTCACAATCACCTGTAACTCGAGTTTTAGGGACTATAATGTCCTCTTCTGGCCTTCACAAGCTACCACATATAAGTGATACACATGCTTGTACAGGCTA